ACACGCACCCGGTGTGAGTTTAAGCCACCAGGTCCGGGACGTGAACCGCGGTCGACTACGTGGGAGTCCAGCGACATAGCCATGATGCCAAGTGCTGGTCCCAGTAGTCGACATCCTTGTGTGAAGTCACCACTGCTGGCAGGAAGGACGAAGCCACCTTAAGTTCCCTGCCCTGGCACTCACAGGGCCATAATTACCCGAGGGGGTTCCAGCCTCGTTCACAGCCAGGCCTCCAGCCCTGTCCCCTCTAAATCTTGTATTTCTAGCATTTGACCATAGGACACATGCCAGAGAGGGAGAGAGGAAAGGGAGAAATCACCCCTGGGGAGCGTGGCCACGCTGCAGGCCCTTCTGCCTTTTTCTCCTGTTGGGGTTGTGGGCGCACACACACCCAGCATGATCTTCGAGCCGTCAGGTCCAGAACTCGAACCGTGGTTGGCCACGTGGGAGTCCAGTGCCTCAACCACCTGCCACCTCCTGTCCCCTAGCCCACCTACATCTTTAGAGGGAAAGCCTGCCGACTCCTGCGTGGCCTTAATAAGGACAAAAACAGCGTGTCTTGGGAACCAGCAGTTAGCGTAATGGCTATGTCGCTGGACTCCCACGTAGTCAACCGCGGTTCGTGTCCCGGACCCGGTGGCTTAAAACTCACGCCGGGCGCGTGTGCGTGTGTGCCCAAGATCCCGAGAGGAGAATGGAGGAAAAGGGATTGCGGCGTGACCATCCCCCCTGGGGGTTGATTTCTCGCTTTCTGTCTCTCTGTCTCTCTCTGTCTGTCTGGCGAGCACACGCGCCCTATAGTGAAAAACCTCTCAAAAACAAAAACAAAAACAAAAAAACGGCGTGTCTTCACATCTTTCTCTACTGTTATGGATTAAATAAAGCAGTACACTTTGTCATTACTCATTTTTCAATTGCAGATTTTCGAATCAATGTTTTGTCTATCTAGGACTTGGCTCCAGAAGTCAGTGAGAGTTCAAACTTGGAAGAGAATGTGAGTATAACAAAGTCACAAGCTATATATAAATATAAATATATATGTGTGTGTATGTATATATAATACATAATCCCATAATCCCTTCTCCTCCATCTCTCCCTCCTTTTTGAATTTGTATATATGTATATATATACACACACACACACATATAGAAATTAAAAGGTAAATATGAGAGGATATCAAAAAGTTAAA